ACAATTAGTGATTATTATTTAAGCATGATTCGCTCATACTATGAACAAGCCCGACTTCGGCTGAGGCTGTGATGAAGGCTTCAACTCATCATCGCCTTGGTTAAAAGAGCCAAAGAGTGTGCACTCTCCTAGCAGCTGTTTCAACTGAGATGAGGCCGCGTCGCCCGCTCATTAAATGGCGGGCGAGAAATGCAGTGGTGTCAGCGAACCCGCTTTGTGGTAACAGCGAGCCCCATGACCGTAGTGCTCGGAGTCTCATTGAAACCCACCGCAAGTGTGGGTTTTTTTTTCTATCGGATCCACTCCGGAAAAAGCTGGAATTCATCCGCGATCTTCCCCCAGCTGGAGCGCAAATTTGACAGCAACGTAGAATTCCGAGAAATCGTGCGGGCTACAGTAGTGCGATTTGTGGCGCAGCGACGACAGGTATCGTGTGATATGGACATTGAGGGGAGGTGCTAGAAATGAACACCACTGCTATGTTGAGATGAGTCAAACGCAATTGCTTCAACTAAGCAACATCTATACTGTCATAAAAAATACTCAGATGCTACGACTGGGATGTTGACTAAAAATGAGGGTAGGGATTTACGACATCGAGTGACATCTACGGCTCGAGTATTGCTCCAGCAATGCTCGAAACTACCATGGTTTACTTATCCGGGTTACTACCTCGTCGGTTAGGCTCAGCTGATTACCAACTCTGTGACTTGGACGGCCTCCAATACGAACTCCAAGTGCGAGCCCTTCACTCAACTTCCTCACCTCCATCCGATGACGAACCTTATGTGCCGCCTAGTTGTTCATGCATGGACGACATCCTCAGCTTCCACGCAACTGAGACTACTGTAGGCGATCCCGAGTTCGTCAAAGTTTACGAGGACCATGACCTCCCTCTGACGTCCCAACAGCTAACTACTCAGGACGTTGTATTTGTACTTGGCGTTGAGGTCTGTGATTGTGGTACACGTTTGCGGTACCCGACAAAAGGGATCCATACTGCTGTTACTTGGCCCTTGACAACCCCAGTCACTTATCGGCAAGCATTGGGATTCCTTGGTAGCCTCCTCCAAGAAGCTGACCTTCTTCCTTACCACATCCTGCCGTGTAAGAATCTTCTCACCGGTCTTGTCAGCAAATGCCGGTCCGAGCTTGATCGCGGATGGGATCAGGCCATCCCGGCTGATGTCTTGAACCTCCTTTCTCAGTGGCAAGAACTACTCAAATCATCTACGCTGACTACTATCCCGCGTCGAGTCGATTTACTTACACCTCTGGACATCTATGTCGATGCCAGCAAGACTATGCTTGCTTACACCATCGAACAGAACGGTGATCCAGTCTTCCGTGGCCAGTTGCCTCTCACCAAGTCCCAAAAGGTATTCCATATCAACACGTTGGAGCTCTTGAGCATCTACCACGCTTGTTCTCGTGTTCGTCTCTTTGAACTTGATGTTGGTGCAATCTTTGAACATCTCAACCTCCACTGCGACTCCGTTACTGCTTTGGCTGTGGTGCGTCACCATCGTGTTCATACTGGGGTCCAAGAAGTCTACTGCCGACAATATTTGACTTTGATTCAGCAACTACTGGGTGCTAGGCATCTCAATTGCTTTCATATTAAAGGAGCTGATAATCCGGCCGACGCTGGAACTCGGTGTACCTTATTCAATGACATTGTTACTTGCCGTGCTCATTATGATGTTGCATCCGTTAGCGAGCTACCTGCCACAAACGAGCAAGCATGTCAGGTCCGCAAACGCGACGACTTCTCCGCGGATACTGAGAACGACTCGTCTATTGCTAGTCGTGTGAAGGCCCGTCGTACATCCACGATCTCCTCAGCATCATCCCAAGCATCTCCTCCTGCTGCTATCTCGGACCCAGCTGAAGCCACAACTGTATCTACTGTATCGGCTCTCACTCCGCCTTGGTCTTCAGATTAGCCGACGTCCATTGGTTTACTTCCTCATACTCAGGATGGTAAAGTCGATGTCTCTGATGTCGCTACTCTTCAAGAGGAACTTACCGACCTTTATCACCGACAGAGTCATGATGGTATTTATGCCACTGGTCAACGACTGTACAACTACTACTGGCCGAATAAGATGACGACTGTTACTCAAACTGTCCGACGGTGTGACCTATGTGAGTCCAACAAGACTCACCCTCATGACCGACAACTCAAGGAGCTTCCTGTTACTCCTTCGTTGCCGGACCATTACTTCGACCATGTGATAATGACGCTACCGGTCCGTTCTACGAACATCGGTCCTACATCACCGCGCTGATTGATAGACTGTCATGCTTTTGTCTTCTTCTCGGAAGTCAAGAATATCCTACCAGCGAGATTGCTGTCGCGCTTGTCCAACAGATTAGGTTATCCTACGGGGTGTAGCCTCGACATATTCTCTCGGACAACCATGCTACTTATACACGAGCTTCTGACCTACTTCTGAAGTTCACTACCTCTCCTTCCGGTCTCAACAAGTTCACCACTTCTTGGTCCTTTACTCCGCCTTACTCATCGCAATCCACCGGTCAAGTCGAACGTCTTTTTCGTGATGTTACCTTCCTCGTCAAGGTCAACATGCAACGGTTCAACTACACTTGGGATACCCTAACTGCTGCTACTTGGCATTTCTTAGTACAAGAAGTTGCTTCTCAGCTGAACTCTCGCCCACGTCGTCCAAGTGGCTACTCACCTTATGCCTTACTTTTCCAATATGGTCCTCAAGATCCTGTGAATGGCGATATGTTACTTCAGA